ACGGAGTCCTGCGGCCTCCACCAGGCGTTACGGGACGCTTTTAATTCGAAGGATTGCGATCGGCGCGACGCGCGAAGGATTTATCGCCGACATACTTCTCTCGAATTCGCCGTATCCGGCGCAGGAATCGACGTAGCCGCGCCGCATTTACGAGTCCCCCGAAAGCCCGAGGTGAAACTGCGTATTTGAAGCGCCCCTCGATTTGAAAAAAAAAAAAATTTATTTCGCTACGTAGGTCCCAAGGATCCACGAGAAGGGATTTCGTTAAACAGGCGTCGCGCGCGATCGGCGCTTAAAATTTATACCGGGTGTGTCCGCCGCGTCGTGCATCTCCTCGGCGAGATTCATCGCGAAAGTATTTAAATGTATGCAAAATCGCTTCACGTGACTCCCCGGGGAGGGAAAAGTCCGAAAGAAAAGTCGCGGGAGAGAACTGATTCTGTATGCGCTTCTCTCCGCTTTTTAAATCGGAGCGGAACGTGTCGCGTGTATAATTAATCGTTCGCGCAATCGCCTGCGCGTATACGACAGCTGCAAAATTATTATACCGAAAAAACGTTGCGCGCTTATTTTTTTCTCAAATTGTCCGTCGCTGCTTGTTTATCACTCTGAGTGTACCACGGACAGTCCGGGAGATGCTCTCTAAATTTCTAGGAGTGAAATTTCGCTGATATAGGGAAAATATTCGTTTTGATCGATTGCAACGTTCACTCATTTCGAATCATTTTTCATTCGTTTTGAGGCATCATTCCAAGAAATTTAAAGAATGTGAGGAAAGAAATTTCAACATCAATAAAACATCATTTTTCACGAGATCATCCGCGAGTCAAGCTCAGGCTCAGAATTCTGCCCGAAGCACACAAAGCGAAAGTATTCTCTCAAGTCGACTAGTAGGGCTGAAATTCGCGTCTTTTTGGTTGAGTGCGAGAGCAGAAGCGCCCAGAGTTCTCTCTCTTTCTTTCTGTCGGTCTCTCGAAGTCGTTCGCGAGCCGAGTTCAAACTCGGTTGACCGGTCGGACGAGCCGGATCGACCTTGCTCGAACACCTTGGAGTCTAGCCTCCATCATCATCGTCGTCGTCGTCGTCGCGGCCAACTCTTTGTTATCCATCTCACATGGTGAAGAATTCAAAAGGATGCCGCCGATATTCTCAGTTCTAATGAAACGTCACGAACAGACGAGGGACATCAAACTTTAACATTAAAAGGAACGGTCACCTGACGTGCATCACATATGCGGTTACTATATGGGGTTACGAAGTATAAAAGCGAGACACCCTGTACCTGCCGCCCCGCGCTGGTGATCGTCCAGCATCGCGATTCCTTCGCGAGACGACACTCTCGCATCGGGCCCGAGTGAAAGAGGATCCCGAGTCTTCCAGGTTCTCCTTCCTTGTACCGGTACCGGACGGGTGGGATGAAGGGAACGAGATGGGAAGAGAGGAAGACGGGAGAAAACTCGGCAGGATACTCGATTCCCTTCGCGCTCGCTCACTCGTTCACTCGGCGTGGAGCGGCGCGGAGAGGAGAGCTGGGAGAGGATGCTAGGGGCAACTCTCGCTTTGTCCAGGAACCGGTCGACGTGCCTACCAGGAGGCAGGCACGCATCGATCCACCAATCGCGGTGTTTTAAGCGCGCTGCACAACGACGACGAGGACGATGCTTTCGGTCGGTTTTGTTGCCTTCATCAAAAATATGACAAACGGCAGGGGACTTTTTAGTTTTCTTTTTCTTTTTTTTTTTCCAGTGTATAATTAATCGCGAGTGGCTCTGTGCGTTGCGAGGATGCTTTCGAGTTTTCCTCGATTAAAGCGAGAACTTGGTCAATTTCGTTCGGAGCATGTCGGTCTTTTGGCATTCTATCGGCTCCTGAGGGGGAGATCGGGAGAAAGAGGGCTCAAAGGGCTGAAGCCGGGACTTCAAATCCCCGTGGGGAGAAACACCCCTCGACAGCTCCCCGGCTCGGCCCGGTCTGGAGTTCTGGAAAACTCCCCAGCGCGAAGTCGCCGCCGGCTATCGTTTTTCATCTATCGCGTTATTTGCCGCCCCGGCGCTTCCTCGCCAATAATTATCTTTCGCGGGTATTTCCGAGCGAGCGGAAAAATGAAGATAAATAATAAGGGGGAGCAGTCGGGGTGTGGAGAGAACACATTTCAGTTTCCACGTTTGCCCGCGGAGTACTCTTACTAATTACAAATAATTGCTAATACGGCGTATTAAATTAATCGTAAGGTGGACATTTTTGGGAGATCGATTGAGAGGAAGTGAAATATTTACTTGGCATGTGCTGTTTCCTATCGCCCATTTGGTCCGGCGCTACGCGGAGAGGCCGCAGCCAATTGCGCTCTTCCCCCCGTCTATTCTCCATTATTTATGGCTTATACTGGTAGTTGCGGTACATCGCGTATATCCTTCTCAACGCTCCAATTATCAAACAGTAATTATGCGTCACGAGCACTATGGCCCGCGCGCAGGCCGTTTCGCATCGCGAAATCGAAACGTCGAGTGCACTGATAACTCAAAGGAAAGCAGCCCGTTCTCTCCCGGGTCTTTGATCGATCGATCCATCCAAGCCTGGCTACGTTCAGTTAGCAGACGTAGCGATCACCCTCGGACCAATAATTATCCGCAATTTTCGAGCAAAATTCAGTACCGGTGCTCGATCGACATGCAGCCGGCACTTTTAATATCATCGCGCGAGTCTCACGAAAATCTTCGCAAAACTGACCTCGCACAGAGCCTCGAGGGCCAAAGTAATCCTGTGCCGAAGACTACGTTTACGTTCTACTTGAAAAAGCTCCATTAAATGAGTCACTAAGGACGCGAGATGGCTAAAATTTCTTTCCTAAAAAGTTGTACACGCGATCTTTTTGGGTCGCGCGCTGAATACGATGGTAGTCTGTCTCTAAAGCCGTGGGAGAGTGCTCAGAATTCGCCTTAAGCAGGTTTTTCATCACCTTCCCACGGATTTAGACGGATAAAAATGCTGCCATAATTACTCGACGATTAAGTTAATCAGAGCTTAGTAAAAATCACCTTTAATGCGTCCACTTATTGTCAACATCATGAATCCCAACATTTGTTGTACGAGTAAGAAAAACCGCAGAAAATCGTATCAGTATTCTAATAAAATATCTATATAGACCACTAGAGGCGCTATACACTGAGAAAAAAATACTCGAAATTTATTTGCGGGATATAAAGTTTACTTCACAAATATATATCTTATTCCACAAAAATAGATGTTATTTCACAGAAATAAACTTTGTATCTCTCATCAGTAAATTCTCAAATATTTTTTCTCAGTGTATGTTGCTTCTAAAATTCTTTTTGAAACCATTTTCTCCTAAACAGCGAGGTGCGCATCACTTTTGACACCTTTAATCGATCCATTAGTAGCTACAATTTTATCAAGGAATAATTTCAAATTTTGTATGTCACGGAATAGGTCTAAAAGCTTATGAGAGCTTGGCCACTCTCTTTCCAAATCTCGCGTTCCAAGTCTCTCCCGAGGCCTGTCCGAAGCCTGGCTGTCTCTCTTTCTCTCTCCCCCTCCCATCTTTCTCTCTTTCGACTTGCATACCGCGTCAGGTTCGCGCCAGGGCAGCCTCTACCTGCATTCCAACCTACCCGGTCGACCTCATTCCGCCATTATACTATTTCGTTCTCTCGACTCTCTCGCGCGCGCGCGTTCCCTCGAACGCGTCTCTCGCATGTGCGCTCGTCGGCGTGTACGCGAGAGAGCGTTTTCGGGGCCGAATTATGTCATACGAGGTGTCGCGCCGCGTCCCTGACATTGCGTTCTCCGGATCCCCTGCCCCTTCTCGAGAGATCGCGCCGGCGATACACACACAGTCGCTCATAACGTAGAGCGTCTCGCATACAGAGACACGAATACGTGATTTCATTCCGCGCGCATCGACGTTCATTTCCCGCGCGTCGCCGAGACGAACCAACAAAAGTTTCACGAGCGGCAGTAAAATCGCGGCAATTAAGAGTCGCTGATCTTCCGGTAGCAATGAGGGTCACCCTGTGTAACGCTGCGAGCTCTCTCTCTCTCTCTCTCTCTCTCTCTCTCTCTCCCCCTTCCTCCCTCCCTCTTCTGCCTGCCGGCATTATGACATCGACAATCGTATTCATTATAAGCCGATTCGATCGCTGTCGGCGGCAGGCAGATAGCATCGAGAGCGTATCGATATTCATTATCTATTATGTTATCCCGGTTGATCGGTCGCCCGCTCGCTAGCTAGCTAGCTAGCTAGCTCGCTCCTTCATTCGCCAAATGCATTCGTATGCCATAAATCAACCGACAACCGCCGTGAAAATATTAACTCTCCCGACCGCGTGACACGGATATTTCGCGACGCGATTGCGCGCGCGAGTTACTTTACACCGCGCTCGCGATTGCATTTTTATCCTGGACGTTGATGGATTGATAACTCTGCGGTGGATAATTCTCTCGGCGGTTGTTCCAATGAAAATTCTCTCCTCCAGCGCGAGAGAGAAAGAGAGAGAGAGAAAGGCCGTTGCTCCGGTCATTATTGTTGTTTTATGAAGCTCGCGCGACAATTAGATGAACGATCGAACGTCACTCGCGATGAGAGTCCACGGGACGGCGATTAGACGCGAGATCATAGACGACTTTACACCGAAACTCTGGCGTTCCGCTTCAAGCAGATCACTGCCGACGAGGCTCGTGTCCTTCGCGTGTCTTCCCTTTCTCGTCCTCTCTTCCTCCTTCGGTCGCAATTTTATTTTGTTGGAGGCGAGTGCGCGGTTATGTTCCCCGGCGAACGCTTCGAAAATGGAACTGGCGGATTATCAAGCGCAATCAAGTCATCGCACGCGAGCGAAATTAGTCGGCGCGAGCTCCACAGGTGCGACGTAACGACCCGGTAGGAAGAATCACCTGCTAATTGCTAGTCGCCGGCGCGACGGAGGCTTGGCATAATCTGAGCGATCATAATCGATAAATTCCTTAACGAGCCGCGCGACACACAGATACGTGATCACCGAGCTGCTCCAGAGCGACCTGCACAAGATCATCGTCAGTCCGCAGCATCTCACCCCGGACCACATCAAGGTCTTCCTTTATCAGATCCTACGAGGTGAGTACGAATTCTATAACCGCATATCTCTTTCTGCGCGAATAATACGAACGAAAGGATTTTGCTTCGCGACGGGAGATGCGTTGCTTTTGATATTTCTCTTTTTTTTATTTTTTTTTTTTTTTAAAGAATTCAGGGCTCTGCACTTAAGAACACACCTTTGCAGAGTTTAAAATTCATTTCTAATCTTGATACGAGGGAGATGCACTCTCGACACACAAAGTTAAGTCGAAAGAATGACGTGAAAAACACGGGGGAAGGGTGGCGGCGGGTTGTTAATGGGTCAACTCGATTAATTAAGACACGAACTCTCGACCCACGGGAAGCAAAACCCATAAAGAAGGAAAAGAAGGTTGAGATAAGTTATCCAAGTTTAGCGCGCCCCGCGACTCCCTCTCCCTCTCTCTCTCTCTCGCTACTTCCTGCGTGGTACGACGAAGGTGCGAGTCCAGTCTTAGGACGATCTCTAAGGAATCGTTAAGATCGAGATTCCGAGATAGTCTTGCAGCGAGCGAGGGTGGTAAACAAGGCGACAGAAAAGAGAAAGAGAGAGAGGTAAGACAAAAAGAGGAGGGGGAATTAGTAGTAGGGAAGATAGGGTTGGATGCAAGATACGAGATGAGAATGGCGAAGCAGTGAAGAAAAGTCCGCGCTTATAAAAATCCACGAGTAGCATATTGCCTCCGTCGTCGCGGGGAAGGTGGGTTAGGACGGCGACGGGGGGTGTATAGGGGGAGGCGGGAGGACATGAAGGGCGAGAACCGGGTAAACAGGATCGTTTCTATTCATCCCTCGGGATCATCCCGGGATCTCGACGCTCCTATATCGTCCTTACATTGTCTGGCTTGCCGAATTACCTCCGGCCCTCCCACCTCCACCCCCCTCTCTCTCTCTCTCTCTCTCCCTCCCGTCTCCTTCCTCCTGAAAAACGTCCGTTCACCCTTTTCGCAGCATCTCGTTTATTCTTTTCTTTTTCGTTTCTCCTCTCTCCCCGGCACGTCCCCATTTCTTTCCTCCTTTCTCTCGCGCGAAAGTAATTTCTCTTTTCGATGCAAGAGACACATGTGACCGTTCGCGCCTTATTTGCGAAATCCGCCACCGTCGAGGTTTCGCGAGCGGGAAGGACCGAATGTGCCGTCTCGCGCGGACGCATCCTGCTGCGTCCTGCGGCTCTCATGGAAGACGCGGGCGAGCGGGCAGGCGCAAAAAGGACAGCCGCGTTAATTCATCATTCGGCGTCGCCGCTCTTGTTTCTCTCCTGCCGCTTGTTTTCGAGGATAATTTGTCACGACAGCTTCCGTTGCAGCTCGCGTTCCCTTCCCTCCCCACCTTTCCTGACCCGTCTCTCCCACCCTGCTCATTCTCGAAGGATGCGGCTCGAATCGCGATGCGAAGCGGAGCGACAGGCGCTCGCTCGCTCGTTCGTTCGTTTGTTCGTTCGTTCGCTCGCTCGCTCGCTCACCCTTCGTTGCTTGGAAGGAGGTTTGTGGCGCAACTAGTGCAACAACACGAGTGCAACGAGTGCATCGCGAGAATCATTATGCGCCGTGTCCCGAACGAGACTCCGCGGCCCCGCGAGTAGTAATTTTTCCTCGTTTTCTCGTTATTAAGATCTCATCGCGGCTCGACGTTCTCCTACTCTTTTTCCTCGTTTCTTTTCTCTCCTCGTCCGCTTCTTATTGCGGCGAAGAGACGGAGTTACTTCTAGAATTGCTGTCTTAGATACTTTAGTTACGTGAACGGAAAAACAATCCTTCTCTCCTTTCCCCTCCCTCTCTCTCTCTATCTCTCTCTCTCTCTCTGTCTTTCGACATGAGATGTAAGGCAATTGAAATAACATACTCGCCTCGAAGTGGCAATTCCCTCTGAAATCACACGTGCAATTCTATATCTCCCTAAATAATTACTCTTCCTCGTCAATGTTGCATTTTTATGCGATTCTATGCGCTCGAGATGTTTGCAAGGCGACACGATCTCGAGAGAGATCGCGGACAATTTCGCGTCCGCCATCTTTGCACCTGGGACGTCAAGCGTGCGATTTTCGAGGGAACGGTCCTAACTGTTTTCGTCGCGGGCGATTCTGTCATTTCCTCTAAATTACCGCGCGCGAAGGCGAAAAAAGGTGCGCGCGCGATCCTGGCCGAGGACCGCTCACTCTCTCTCTCTCTCTCTCTCTCTCTCTCTCTCTCCTGGCTGTCGGTCAACGTCCTTTCGAGTCCGATCCGGCTCGTCCTCCGGGCTTGCCCGAGCTTCTGCGTGCTTCAACGGTACATTTCTCGAACGGAGACGCCGCGAACCGGAAAGCGAGCGGCGCGTTTTCGACGTCCGATAAGGTTCGGCCGTTTCCTGGGGCCGTGGCTCGATTGCAGTCGACTGTTTGTTTTCGGAGCGGCTAAATCGTGAAATTTTCCGCGTCGTCATGAAAAAACGGCTCGGAAACGGTCACCGTTCTCCCGAAATGTATCACAATGTTCTAAAAGCCTCTTACCGCCGATTATCTTTCGCACGTCTCTTTGAGAACTCGCGAACGCGACACGCGCGAATGTTCAGGTGGCAGATTCACGCAACTTGTGCGCGAGGGGGAAAGGGAAAGAGCAAAAGGAAAGCCAGCTCGTCGCGAAGGGCTGCTACACGCTTTTCCCCGATTCCGTGCTGTAATTCTGGACGCGGGAGAGGACGATGATCCCCGGACGAGATCCCGTCCCGATCTTCTCACGGCTAGCCGCGGGCTCGTTTCGGACTTTCCCACCCGGTATAGCGCGGCGTGCAAAGCCCGGACAGATAGAGCAGGGAGCTCTCCTCTTCCTCTCTTGACTGGTCCGAAACCAGTCCTGCCGCCGCCCATCCGTGACCCCGGACCCCGTCATCCGGTCGGCTGGCTGGCTGGCTGGCTGGCTGGCTGGCTTCTCCACTACTCCGCACCACGTTGGTTAACCTCCGCCGCGCGACTCCTCCTTCTCCTTCTTCTGCTTCTTCTTCTCCTCTCCTCTCCTCTCCTGGCCGTCCTGCTCCTCGCGTCCTCTCGTTCTTTCCCTGCCGGCCCCCGCGCCGCGCGACGTTTTAATTAAGGTGCAACATCTTTCCGAAGTCGGAAATTGCGGCGTTTCCCCTTTTAATCCCGCCGTCGAGGAGGCGGACGCGCCGCGCTAACATCGCGCAACGAATCGATACCTTGTAAACTGGAGCAACACCGATGTCGTCCCGCCGCGGAAGCGGAAGCGACACGGCAGAGATGTGTTCTTGCGCGCGGGAAACACACGGCCGGTGCGCGCACGGCGCGCGACACATCTCATGAGAAGTGGAGTTTAAGTGGAGAAGTGGAGGACGGCGTGTCCTCTTATGCGGTCAGGCCGATCCGTCGGGTCTCAGTCCGATCGTTCTGACGAATTTTAACGCGCGAGGTCACCTACGCGAACGTCCAAAGTGCGCAGAAGTCCTCAGCCACGGTCTCTCCTCGAAGAAGCCGTTCCGCGCGGAGCCTTTCTAAGCGCGAGGTGCAAAATAACGAAACGTCACGCGGGAATATCGCAGTGGCGATTTTCGCGCCGTGGCGTGTGACACGTGCCGCGTCCGATCTGCACGATTTGTATGCTCGAACTACTTGCTAGTGGTCGCGATCGACGTTAGACGAATCTTAATGAGCGGATTGCGGGCTGTGTAATCTCGCGCGAGCGCGCGCTCAAATACAGTACGTAATGTGTACGCATAGAGAGAGCGAACGAGCGAGAGAAAAAGAGAGAGAGAGAGAGAGAGAGAGAGAGAGAGAGAGAAAGAATTCGATTACGCCTGCGCGCTTCACCGAGTGGGATAATGTTTTTACTGCAACATTCGCGCAAAGTCAAGGGGAAACAAGGAGCCGAGCGCGCGCCATCGAATTAAGTCGAGATAACGCTTAAGTAGAAGGGGGGTACACTTCGTTATACAATTCGTCCGAGTATAAATATGACGCCGGAAGATCTCTTTTAATTGCTAGCTTGCAGTTACGATATGTGAAACGGGAAATTTCATCACAAAAATATCTAGAATTGTGATTTATGCGACGGCTCAAATTCACTGTGGGATGAGGTGTAAGATTAAAATTGCAATTGCAATTGCAACATCCAGTGAAGACCGCGACTCTTCAATCTCCGCGAACGAGAAAGAGAGAGACTGAGGTCCGTATTAATAGTCGATACTTGAAACTCAGGTGAGATACTCAGATTTTTATTCAAAATCATATCAAAGTTTTTCAGTTGAATCGTGATAAATGTAACATTTATATCTATAATTGCGCGATTCAGTTGAAGAACTCTCATATAACTCTAAATTGGAATCTGTACTTAACACGAGTTTCGAGTAATGACTATTAATATGGATCTGAGAGACTGTCACTGTGAGACGATTTCGAACTTCCAACCAGCGGAGTCGCGATTGATCCCTTTCGTCGCCGAGGTATTGCCCGGGTTAGGGTGTCCCGTTTTGTGTCCCGCTACGTAATTGGCACACGACGTGACGTAATTGCCACTAGTTTAATCAGTCGCTGTTAACGACTGATCTGTATGAGGAAAGAGAAAGGGAAGGAGAGAGAGAGAGAGAGAGAGAGAGAGAGAAAGGGGGGGAGGGGAAACTTGTAGTAATTTCTCCCGAACTTCTGTCGAGGCGACCAGGCACCAGAAGTCGTCAAAGTTAATAATTCAAAGCCCCGCACTCAAGAGCAAATATTAGCTCTCGTTCTCTCGAGTCGATTGTCACTCTTCTACATTGTGCATTAACAAGCCGACATTAAATCGGTTGGAACCCCGCCAGAGGCGAGCGAGAAGCTACTCCCTCTCCGTTTCCTCCCCCCCCCTTTGGCTTGTGTTTTCGCCGCACGTGCATGAGCCACGTGCAGCAGACGTCGATGAATCGAATTTTCGGCCCGAGTTATCACGCTGTGCTCACCCGTGAATATCGCGCGCCGTCTCTCTGTGTTATTATTGTGTACATTATAATTAAACTCTCAATTTATATAAAAAGAATCT